AAATTAAAAAAAAAACAGGATCTGCCTATATCTCTGAGATGAGGTATTATGACTACAATACAGAAACGTTGTGTGTGAATATGGCAATGAAGATGAGGAGGATAACAGTCCAAATAATACAAGTAACTTGTTTCTTTCTTGATATTATATACGTTTTACAACAAATACTGTAATTCTCCATGTATAATACGCCCTTATCCATAATACGAACAGCTAAAATGTGCTGAAAGAGTTGGAAAATAATTCTACTCCTAAACCCTATAAATTGTTCCTCTTCAATTTAATTACGGTCAGCGTTTCCTACTATTATAAAAAAAATTACTTTAAACATAAAATAATATTATTCTAATTTATTTTTATGATAGTACTTATTTTATTTTACGGCATTTTTAAAGATATTTTTGTAGCTGTGTATAATACGCACCCCTAATTTTGCTTATTATTATTTTTAGAAAACAATGTGGAAATATGGTAAGTTTCTTTGGGTGACGTTTGCTTAACGTTGTAGTTGTAGCTGAAAAGGTGAACATTGGCGACACCAATGACAGAAATTTTAAATAAAGCCCTTCAATTTTTGACTTGCAGGCTCGTAAGAAACAACCAGCCTGATAAATCGATGTTGCTCTTTTATCGATAATTATTATTATAAACTCGCACATTTGTACAATAGTAGAGACACCAGTGAAAAACTTAGTGAGTAATGGAGTAATGTCCTGGGAAATTATCTTAGTAAACACCATATCAGCATAGGGACTAAATTATCATGTAAACCGCATGTTAATTGAATAAAAAACAACAACAACAAAAACAACAACAAAAAAACAAGAACAGTCATTTTTAAGTATATCTAGACAACCCTTGACCCGATGGGACATTGACGGTCCAGTTTATAAAACACTGAAGTTGATTTCAACATTCTGTTGAAATGAAAGTTAATTTTATTATGATTCAATTAAATATTTCAATTCGTTCGTCTCATCATTGGTCTGGTTTAAAAGTTCATGTTTAAAGTTTTACTGATTATTTACAGTATTTAATAGGAATAGAACCCCCGGGATAAACTTGAACCATTAATCAGATTCACTTAAAAATATTTTTTAATATGCCAAAAAATATTTTAAAATTATATTAACTTAAAAATAATTTTGAATATGCCAAAAATATTTTTGAATATTTAAAATAATGTTTCTTTAAAGAAAGCTAAAATATAAATAATTACTCTACAAACAACTAGACGAAACAGCAAAGCGGGATATCTTTGTGTCTGTCTTTTAAATACTTACTTTATAAACAATTCGTATTTTTAAACCTTATTCACTTAAATCGGATTAACTTAATACATTAGGCACCGGACTGACGCACCACACAAGCACGCACGCAGTCACAGACTTTTAGTATTATTTAAGTGATAATGGTAATATTAATTCCTTCTTTATTAGAAAACATTCAGCTTTCATTGACCGAGTAGCCTGTTATACTTGGATTAAGCTTTTCTTCACTTCCATTTCATGGAGATGGGATCAAAGTATAGTATCTGTTCATCTCATCTCGAACGGTAATGATAATATTAACTATTTCCTTCACATTACGGCGGTGGAAAAGTGACTGAAGCCGAGATAACCGGTCAGAGACAATAATATTGCAGATTCTTCTTTGTAATTTATCAAGAATCTCTAAATATATAGTAAACGAACCAGACAGGAGGTGAAATCTATATTCAATGAATGGGCGAATGGTAGACTTTTACATGTGTTAAATAGATTCTGTTGAGAAAAAAACAAAAAAAAAAAACAAAAAAACAAAAAAAAAAAACAAAACAAAAACATTTTGAACTACACAGTGAACCTACTTTCCTAGCAGAAAACATATCAGTTGATTCAATAAAACCTTCCCACTTCATGTCAGTTGAAGAACGTTAGCTAGAGAAGGGGCAATGGGACACTCTCCAGAAGGTAAATTTTTTTCAATCGTCTATTTCATAGAAGTTATATTTTCGTCTGCCGAAACAAGCTTATTCCCCATATGTGGTGATTTTGGATATTTATTATTACAGAGCAAAAATTAATACACAATAAAGTGTATTAATTTTTGCTCTGTAATAATAAATACATTGAGCTCTTTTTGTGGATCAGTTTTAATATATTTATATTATTACTAGAATCCACAGATTAATTACCTTTAATAAATATATATATATATATATATATATATATATATATATATATATATATATATATATGTGTGTGTGTGTGTGTGTGTGTGTGTGTGTGTATTTAGGTAGCAATCCTTCTTTTAAGTACATTTCATTGAATACGACAGGCTAGGTGCTTTTATTTAGTTTTTTTTATACAATTTTCCATGCGATCTATAATTTTTTTTCTTTTCGGATGCTAAATTATATAAAAACAGTACAAATGTTCTTTTTATCCGAGCGCTTTCGGCTATACATTTAGCCATTTTCAAGGATTAAATATTTTAACTGTTAAATAAAAATAGTCTGTTGTATGTATGTTTTATAAAATGTTTTCATTTTTCAAAACACGGTCAAGATATTATGTCCATGTTCATAGTTAATATTATTAAGTGTTGTTTTTTTGTTTTTATTAATAATGCTTCTATTATTTTTAGCGTTTTTTGCATGTAGATGATGCTATTATATTTGTGTTGTCAACAAGTATGTTACGAATAGTGTCTGGTAGGTCTCCATGAATATTTAAATGAGATCTAATTGAGCTATGGTCAGAAAGGTGTATATACGTCTCATTAAAAACGACTGACAAGGTATGCGGTTATGTTTCTATTTAATTTTTCTTGTGGTATTATAATTTTTTTCTCTTCTGGACATAAATTACGTAGAAATAGTCCGAATGTTTCGGCTATTCTTTTAGCCATTATCAAGGATTATTTTATTTTTACGTTTAAACTGTTATTTCTACAGCATATTCAGACAATTTCTACATAATTTATGTCTAGAAAAGAAAAAATTATATAAACTCAAGAAAAATGAAATAAAAAACTTAACTTTTTAACAAGACTTGTATAAAAGAGTGATTGCTGCCCAAATAAAGAAACACACAGAGTATAGGATACAGGTTCGATTCCTGTCGGAGGACGAATATTTTTTTATGAAAATTTCTCGGACATTCAGGCCGGTAAATGTTGTTTGATACTGTTTATTATAAAGCGAGCATTTACTTAAATATTTGTATCTATAAAAAAGAATGTATAAACATAAAAATGTCTCAATATATATATATATATATATTATTTTCTGACGGTCTATTTTGTTTTTTAGATGATTTTTTGCTAGAGTCAATTGCGATCGTGTCTCTATAAAAGCTGAAGGGTCTCTCCTCCTCCATCTCAATCTGTCCATTCCATTATTTTTGTGAGTCTTTTAAATGTCCATCACCGGATCGGTTGACGCAAAACCTTTACCTATCCATCAATTAAAGATACATTCGTCATAAAACCAATAAAAACTCACGGATACCGCAAAAAGACTGCGATTGATCGACACGTTGGGGAAAATAGAAATTATATTCTTCTGAATAAGTAAACAGTTATCCACAAGCTTTAAAGAGATACAGTTACGTTGATCCATTTAGTTGTTCCGTAACTTGGAAACAATAACTAATGGACTGTGTAAATCCCACCAGACTTCCTTGTAGTTCTAAAAGAATGAGAAAGAAAAAAATGTATAAGAATGATCATTTGCTCCATCTGTCAAAGAACCCGTTGATTTTTTAGATTATTTCCAATGTTTGCTGATTCCATAAAAAAAAACAAAAATAGATATAAATATTGTTTAAAGTTCAAATTGAAAAAAGCTATCTTCGAACACTTGATAGTTTTTTGTCTATATTTCTGAGATGAGGTATTATGTGCATTATGCACATTATTCGGAATATTGTCCTCATCTTTGTCGTCATATTTATTACAACGTTTCGGCCGTTGTACGCTCCAGCCTTCTTCAGGTGGTTGGAATGTCGAACTGAACCCTTTATATCGCTCAGTACGGTAGACTGTTCTAGTTCCACGTGCCATGTTTTTAATGGATGTCAGTTATCAGTTATCTCCTGTTAATTCCCCTCTCCAAGTTCTTCACTGCTTTAGCCGAGTATTGAACTAACACTCTTTGGGTCTTGTCACTGGATCTAACCAATGCCTTTATCCAATGTGCAATGTGTCCTTGAGGACACCTGTGTATGAATTTCTGCAATCATTTTTTACCAGTACTCATAACAGCAAAAATTGCAGTATGAGCACTGGTAAAATAAGGTTACAGAATTTCATAACTGATAACTGACATCCATTAAACATGGCACGTGGAACTAGAAGAGTCTACCCCAGCGAGCGAAATAAAGGGTTCAGTTCGACATTCCAACCACCTGAAGAAGGCCGGAGCGTACAACGGCTGAAACGTTGTAATAAATATGGCGACAAAGATGAGGAGAATGGTCCGAATAATGTAAATAATATTTTTTTTTCACAAGTCTTCATCTAACTCTATATACTGGATCTCTTCATGACATGAGCGATCATGGCTCTCCATCAATCTCTTACGACGCCTGGTCCTTAGCAATGTTTGTTCCCTTTGCGAAGACATCCTTAATCAGTACCACAATCCATTCACACAAACCTTGTCAGGGAGATACCTTACTACCATCTATTAGCCTCTTTTACTCTCTATATATCATGTGAGAGTTAAGTTTTCCAAGCTTCATAATGGGTTTAAGAAATTTCATATAATTGATATCTCCTAGCATTTCAGTGTACTTTTCATTGTTTCTACAGATTTCTTTCTGCTTTCTTCTTTAGATTTTAGAATCCATGTTTCACTCATTGAATGCGTCTTCGGATTTCGGTGTCAGAATTTGCATCTTCTGTCGCGTTACAATCTTCCAAATACGATTTTATTTGGCCTATTTCTCTTGTTTATTTATATTACATTTTCGCTAATCCATTTGCATTTAGTTGTTGCATTTATTTCATTCTAGTCATATCTATCTATCTATCTATCTATCTATCTATCTATCTATCTATCTATCTATCTATCTGTTCATATCTATGTATCTTCAAAAAGTTAAATCGTAACTCAAGTAGAAGTAAGAGAATTGCAGTAAATTTGTATAGCGTCAATTTCCTAAGTAGGTTTTTTTCAGATTGCTTATCCATCTGCTTTTTTTATAAAGTAATACTCTAAATCAGGTGTCTAAACATTAATGTGTCTAATTGAGATAAAACCAGTTATAATTTACAATGTTCGCCCAAGAAATACGCCAAGTATTTCAATTATATTTAACGAACTGTTATTTGTAATTATCGATTGTATCCGTAAATCAATCCAGACTAGTTGTGATGTAAACATTACCTTTCATGTTTATTCAAAGAATGAATCCAAATCGCGATAAAAATAAAAGCGTTGAACATTCGACTCAGTCATTAAAATCTACCGAATCGAATCAGCATCACAGAGCATAGAATAAATCAGACATTACAACGGTCGACAGTAATTACAATATAAAGTGCCGTTCGCTGAGATGGTCAGCGACTAGTGCAACGAATATACTAAAGTAAGAACATAGTTTGATTGACCGATAAATACAAAAAAAGAATCGATGAAAGCGACCAAGTTGCAACAATAAAAGATTGGACACAAAACGAGGTTCCATGTCTGAACGTTCAGGCCAGACCTCAAGTGGAATTCACATATAATATCCAAAGTTAAGGATGGTGTAAAAACTTCCGTTTCATTGTATCTCTCCAATTAAAAAAAGAAAAAAAAAAAAACAGTTTCTATTTTGCTCTTAATGCACACTGACTCGTTGGATTTTTCTCGAAACAGATATCTATTCAGGTCCAATGGTTTTGTTTTCGTTTCGGATGGAACCCTGAACAGAAATATGTTTCGAGAAAAATCCGAACAACTTAACGTGGGTTAAAGGCAAAAATGTACCCTTTTTTATTGGAGGGATTACAGGCAAAAATGTACCTTTTTTATTGGAGGGGTTAAAGGCAAAAATGTACCCTTTTTTATTGGAGGTGTTAAAGGCAAAAATGTACCCTTTTTTATTGGAGGGGTTAAAGGCAAAAATGTACCCTTTTTTATTGGAGGGGTTAAAGGCAAAAATGTACCCTTTTTATTGGAGGGGTTAAAGCAAAAAAATGTACCCTTTTTTTATTGGAGGGTTAAAGGCGAAAATGTACCCTTTTTTATTGGAGGGGTTAAAGGCAAAAATGTACCCTTTTTTATTGGAGGGGTTAAAGGCAAAAATGTACCCTTTTTTATTGGAGGGGTTAAAGGCAAAAATGTACCCTTTTTTATTGGAGGTGTTAAAGGCAAAAATGAACCCTTTTTATTGGAGCGGTACAGTGAACCGGAATTTTTTTCAAGCATCGTTAATGTTTCTTGGGACAAAAGTTCAGTCGAAACCTCAAGTGGAACTCATATGTAATGTTCAATGTTAAGAAATCTGGAAAAGATCCCCGGTTCATTTTGCCCCCTACAACTCTATTTTGCCTTTAAATGGACAGTGACACATTCGGATATTTCTCGAAAAACATATCTGTTGTTTTCTATCCGGAACGAAAACAAAGCAATTGTCCATAATCGTTCCTGTTCCTGTTAGGTGTAAAACGTTAGAGCGAGAAGGCTGAATGAATTTACACTCCTGGAGGTTAGCATCAGCCAGCTTGTCTCGCTAGAGCAATTACGACTGTGTAGTGAGTTCGATCCTCAGTGGGTGCCTAATACTTTCGGCCTTGTGCCACATCTAATCTATGCTTAGAAAATCACCATCAGTCATACTGATGGAAGGTTTACCGTAAGAGTCGAACTCAGGGTAAAAATAAATCGGACTTAGAGACTGTTTTCTCAACTGCCGTTTCATTATAGATTGCTTTAGGAATCATAGTTTTTGCCTCTAGTGGAGCTGAAAGAAATTACTGTATTTTCTAAGTACTAGAATTTTTGCAACACTCTGATCCGTGTTGAAATACTAAAAGTATTTAGTATTGTTGAAGTTATCTCTAACATCTTTTGTCCAGATTTAGAAATACTACTCTCCCTACTGTGCTTATATTTATAGCAATACTACTGTGCATTATATTTTATCAGAGTGAAATATATATAAAAACTTTAAAAAATATGCTAAGAAAAATATTACATTTTTATTAAATAAGCATTTGTTATCGTTAAATTCTTTTTAAAATAGTGGGTGTATTTTCACTATTTATATTATTCGGACTATTGTCCTCATCTTTGTCGCCATATTTATCACAAAGTTTCGCTCGTTGTACGCTACGGGCTTTTTTTAAACTCAAGGACACATGACACAGTGGATAAAGGCGTTAGTTAGATTCAGTGATATGACTCAAAGAGTGTGAGTTCAATACCTGGTTAAGGCGTTGGAGAACTTGGAGAGAGGAATTAACAGGAGATAACTGATAACTGACATCCATCAAACATAGCACGTGAAACTAGAACAGTCTACCCCAGTGGGCGAAATAAAGGGGTCAGTTCAACATTCCAACCACCTGAAGAAGGCTGGAGTATACAATGGCCGAAACGTTGTGATAAATATGGCGACAAAGATGAGGACAATAGTTCGAATAATGTAAATAGTGTACAAAATACCTCATCTCAGAAATATAGACAGATACTGGGAGTATTTTGTACGTTAAATAATAAAACTTTTAATTTTTCCAAAAAATGAATGAAAATTTACTTTACTAATCTACGTACCCTAGTAAAACCAACTGTACTTTGTACCCGCTGACCTGTTTGCGTTACTCCCCAATATTTGGTTTTGATTGGTCAATGTGTGGCTACTTTTGAGGATGAAACGGACGGACTAACAAACAGAAGTCTTATAATTTTATATATAGAATCGAAATAATCTTTTGGGTTTTTGTAAAATTTAGCCGAATTATTTAAATAAGCGAAAAATAGCAATTCTGTTAAATAAAAATTTTATGACTAATATTGACAGAAACTTACCATAATTCCCATGTATAATACGAATTTAAAAAAAATTATAACCAAACTCAGGGGTGCGTATTATGCACAGCTACAAAGAATCTTTAAAAATTGCCGTAAAATAAAATAAGAATTATAATAAAACTAAATTAGAATAATAATTTTCTATGTTTAAAAGCATTTTTAATAAGTGTAGGAAACGCAGACCGTAATGAAATTGGAGAGGCATAATTTATAGGGTTTGATTATCAAATAAAGGGTGCGTATTATGCGTGAGTAGAAGCATTTTTCCACACTTTCAGTACAATTTTAGGCGTGCGTATTATAGACGAAGGCGTATTATACATGGGGAATTACCGTATTTTATATGTTTCTCTCCTGGTCATTTCTTTGTAGCTGGACCGAGAGTAGAAAATTTAATTGGCCTTAACGGAATGACAGAAGGAAATTCTTAAAATAGATGTCTTTCGGGAAATTTTTGTCGCGAAATTTTACAATATTAAAAGTGGTGACCGCTTGCGAATACCAGGTGCTGTAAGCGTCGATGTGTAGGCGGCATAAAAGATAATTGCTCGGATTTCTTAATTGGATAGCCGAGTTCCAATTTTAGTTGGCCTCATATTCCCTTGCACGCAAATACCTGTTGGAAAGTTATGACAACACGTCTTCTACTCCCAGCTATGGGTTAATTAAGCAAGACTTGTCTCACTGAAGCATTATTATCCCCCAAAATAAAATAAAAATGGGTACAAAATATTTACATTTCTAACCTGTAGAGGGTGATATGCCGCTAACCCAAATCAACAAACATGCATAGGCCTGGCTCTGATGATAGACTACATCCGGCAGCAAGGACTCTAATCGGGAAATTGGAGGTTTTGATAAGCGTAGGACCAACTCTTATTTGCTGTTGTTCCCTAGTTCACTCTAATTTGCGGTGGTAACACCTGTTAGGGTCTCAGCTATGGGCAAATAGCAAACACCCAAATAAAACACAATAAAAGTATAAAAATTCATTTGTATAGTAAAAATACAAGCAACAGATTTTTATTTAAAAAAATTATCAAAAATACATATTGTCACAATACATTTTCTAAAAAAATGACCAACAGCAGATTTTATATGAAGTTGAAGGAATATAATTGCGCTATATTTAGTAAATATAAAATTGTGTTAAAAATGTTTAAATTTCGGCATTAAATAACTCATAGAGGTATTGACATGCCGCTAAACAAAATCAACCGATTTAAAAAAAAAAAAAAAAAAAAAAAGAACCGATTAAAAAACAAAAAAAAAGAACATCTATTACAAGAATTTTTTTTCTCTCTCTGTAGGGCGGGTATTCGACGAGTGCTTTCTGAATAAGTACCTACCTGTGCATTTTGCAACGCTCTTGTTTTCCTTGGAAATGGCTGGAGTAACTGAGTAACACATTGTTATTGAGAGTGTTATGAATATGGAAAGATGGGCCATTATTCTCATCGACAGCTTTTTCGCCCGGAAGGCAGTTTCTGCTGAGACTAGTCTTCGTTAAACGGCAAACCAATTAATTAAACGAAGTAGCCACAGGATTTGAAGACAGGCTCAACAGGGCATTATATGGACGTGACAAATTGTAAATAACAAACCTTATATATGCTGAACTGGTGACGTTGAATATATGAATAAGTAGAGGCCTTCTTAGGCGGTTCTTTTTATATACTATTGTTTAGCCCATACAAGGCTCAAGAGCCACTCAAATAAGATGAATTGCAGTAAGATTGCAAGTGAACGAATAAGAATCATATATTATGAGGATATGTAGGATAAATAACGTAGTATTTCTTATGAGGATAATCACCCCAGGGACATTTGGAAATTTATGGGATCATCGGTGGACGGTACATCTACAGAGGTGCATTTGAAGAGCGGTTTGAGGTTGGATGCTTTTTTGTTGGCGTATTACCGCTGCTCCTTTGATCGCTGCTGTTGTTGCTGCTCCTTCGGACACTGCTGCTGTTGCTGCTCCTTCGGACACTGCTGCTGTTGCTGCTCCTTCGGACACTGCTGCTGTTGCTGCTCCCTCGACTGATTTTTTTTCGGGTTTTGGGGATGAAACGTCCTTCTTTGATGGAATATCTTTCTGAAGAGGATGGATAGCCGTCTTTTTACACCTCCCTACAACTTCAGTTCATTCATTGGTGCCACTGTGTGTCTGGTCGGATTTCTCTACCCCACTCTTTCTTTAGGTGCTGGTTGTTTGGGTGTTGCTGGTTTTGGTGACACTGGAGTGGCTGGTGTCGGTGCCGAGTTCTTCCTGAGGCAAGCTTTTGATAAATGCCACGCGGCACCACAGGAACAGCAGTGGGGATGGCAACATTCCATAATCGCATCCTTCCTCTTCATCACTCCCCCTTTTCAGAGATGTAGACACTTCCTCTACCTCCATGAATATGTCCAATTGAGGCAGTTCCAGTTCCTTCCCCTGTCCTGTTGTTTCTCGGCCAACTGAGTCTGCTGCTGGGGTTCTGATTGCTACGTGCACTGCTTCGCTGGAGTCGACATCTGTCGCGGCTTCTTGCACTCGTCCTTTGGCTGCTTTACTGGCGGCCGCTTTTTTAGTTGATGCACCCTCGGCCGCACCCTTTGTTGCTGCTCACGTTACTGCTTGGGCTTCTCCTTTACCGCTTCTTTTGATGTATTCTGTGTTCAGACGCACTGACTTTGTTGTCAGTAAGCTGCCAGCCAAAATTTTGGCTTGCTCTTTGTTCGCCAGCATGATGACCCACATAGCGTTTGATCGGTGAGCCAAGACTTTTGATTGAATTTAGAAACTTTTCAAAGCCTCCTCCATTGCCTCCCTGTTGGCGCCATTGAATTGCCGAGTTGACACATTCGTCATCAGCAGGGAAATAGTTTTTTTTTTCAACTGCCTCCATTGCCTCAGGAATTGTAAGTAATTCATTCCCCTTCGTAAATTAGGCATATTTTCCTGTATAGTCACATAATCTTCGGGATTATTTTCTTGGGCTTAATCAATCCTCAAACCGCTATTCCAGGAAGTACTGAAGCTGGTTCTGGTGGGGTCGACTCCGCCATATTAGTCGTGCCTCCTCTCTACATATTATTTTTACTTTTGTTTTTCACAGTTGTATTGGGCACTTTTTAATACTATTGTTTCCTGGTCTGATTCAAATCTGGCCATTAACCTTTTTTGTCTTTTATATATATATATATATATATATATATATATATATATATATATATATATATATATATATATATATGAAATGGACAAAAGTCCGACAATTATTTTATTCTATAAAATTATTAGTTTATTCTATAAAAAGAATTTATAAACATAAAAATGTCTTAACACACTCACATACACACACACACACACACACATATATATATATTTATACATGAATAAAGACAAAAAGATAACACTTACCTTATCCGACTCGACGTGATTCCTCCTCTATGGGCTTTATCAAGATATAGATATACACTATCTGATATTTTATACACACACACACACACATATATATATATATATATATGTGTGTGTGTGTGTGTGTGTGTGTGTGTAGGTGTGTTATAAAATATGAAAATGTTATTTCTTTGCTCATATCTTGAAATTCCTCATCGGCAGGGTAGATAGATAGATAGATAGATAGATTTGCAAGGGAGATTAAAATTTTTAATACCAGAAAGGATCTCTGTCTGTATTTAAAAACATAACTGACAATTTGCCACGCAGGATCGTGGAATTTCAAGATATGAAAAAAAAAAAAAAAAAAAAAAAAAAAAACGAAAAAGTTTACGTATTTTTATAAAAATCCAGAACAGATTATAAAACAAACACGGAATGAAGGAAGAATATTTGCAAACTAAAACAATGCTCTTTAGTCTTTGGTTATGTTATAAAGATCATTTTAGAACGACACCAATAAAAATGTAACATCTCTGTTATGTTGTCACCGTTATACAGCTTTCTGAGAATGACATTTCTTCTTGAAAGCGGCCCCCCACCTCTACTTACAACCTTATCTCCGTTGGAATTTAGCATGACACATAATAATCAATGGAAGGGCGAATTGAAAACACTGCATCTATCTCATGTCGCAAATGTCGCGCATGCTCACATAACACTCTCGAAAATGTCATTTATATATTTTTTATGAAAAAAAAATACACATATTTTTAAGAACTATATTGGAACTCTAAATGGTTTATATCGCCGTTCTGTTTAAAGTTTTAACGCTAAAATGGAAATAAAACTTGCAAATACGGAAGCGATTCAAAAGTTTGATTTTTTTTTCATAATTTCATTTTAAAAGTTTAAAACAGAATTTAAAGAATTTTGTCAATGCTATAAACTCTACCTATATGTTGGAACGTAAGAGAGATTTATTAGGAAGTATCTTACATTGATTTACCTTGTATCTCTTTAAAAGAAAAAAAAATTCCCGATCTGGATTCACGTAGAAAACAAACGAATATAATAAACATTTTTTGGAAAGGAAAAACTCTTCAATATTCACAGATGGCTTGTGTTTGTAAGAAGGTTGCATTTGATGTAAACGTATCAAGGCACTAATAAAGAGAAATGGGAAAACTGACCCCAGTGACAGGATCCTCAATGGCTGGTTAACTGCTGTTGCTGTGGATGAGCATAAGGCCAACCGAGCCGTTATATTTTCATTAGAGCTTCAATCACAACTGCAAAATACTGTGAAAGCGATCAGTTGAAATATCCTGCAGATTAGTGCAGTTTCATGTCTAGTGAAATATCTGAGCAAGGTTTGGCCCAATGAAAAATTCCCCTTTAAGACAGTTGTTTTGAAGTGACAATGAGGTGATAGAAGCAACACGCACATGGCTAAAAAAAAAAGCAACCAAGTCACTTTTCTCCTGAATGTGGGTATTCCCCCTGAATAGCTCCTTGGTTGCTTTTTTTTTTAGCCATGTGCGTGTTGCTAGTGACGCAATCGACTGGATCTGCTTAATCGTAATTTCCCAGCCTTGATAGAGTTTAAACGCGCTTACAGCGCCTAGCGAATTATTTTTGTAGGAAAATAAGACAAGGGCGTGTTGAAATTAGGGGAAGCACTTAATTGATTAAGGGGTAACTGGTAAAGAAGTGAAAGAAATGGGAGGAAATAAAATAACACTGACTCCCTGCGTCTGCTCAGTCTCACGTTGACTGCTGACCTGAGATGGAACAAATACATTGAGTCAATTGCTTCTTCCACCGCGAGGTAAGTTGACTCTCTGTGCCGCGCCAGGAAATTTTTCTCCCCGGAATCGATACTTCAAATATACAAATCAACCATTCACCCTTGCATAGAGTATTGCTGCCATATATGGTCTGGGGCACCTTCTGTTTACCTCGGAGTTGTTGACAAGATCCAGAGACGGATATGTAATATAATTAGCCCTGATCTGGCGTCTCGTCTACAGTCACTCTTTCACAGACGCGCCGTCGCCTCTCTCTGTCTTTTCTACAAATACTTTTATAGTAATTGCTTCGATGAGCTGCTTTCACTTGTTCCCAGACTCCATGAATTCAAGCGCCCTACGAGGCTGGCATCCCGCTCCCACCCTTACACTGTAGAGACTTTTAAATGTAGCCGTCTCTTCTACTCCAATAGCTTCATACCTCGCACCTCTCGTCTGTGGAACATCCTTCCCTATTACTGTTTCCCTGAGAGCTATAATCGCCAACTATTCAAATGTAATGTCAATCGACACCTCCAGTTACTTTGATTTACCCACTATCCCGCTCCTCATCCTTTCTTCTATCACTCCTATCTGCTCTTGCTCCAAATCTTCTGCAAACCCCCTGCATCCCAGTGGCTTCACACCTTGCATGGGGCGTAATGCTTTAAAAAAAAGTAAAGAACAGAGAAACCATTGCCTCAGAAACCACAGAATGGTAGGCGGTATGCAACGTCTGGAAAAAAAAGTATCAAGAGGACGTCTTTACAAAACAACTTATCACTGACAGGAGCGAAGCTAGTCTCGCCAAAAGCGTACTACTGATTTTATCGTCGCTTTTCCCGACAGTTGTCAAAGACCCGGATCTAGACAAGTTCAAGAGAGGCCCGTTTTTGGACATTCAAAGCTGTTCTTCTGCTTAAGAAAAAACAAAAAAAAAACCCCAAAAACAAAAACAGGATGTGTCAGACGAACTTCGACATACATGTCCCCACGCGATTCTTGGACTCTTTTGCGTCTCTACTGACACGGGTTTCCCACATATTTTCAAAGTTTACAACCCATTTTCCATAGCCGAAACGTCGCCAGTATTTAGCTACTTTTCCCCTTCCATAGAAAAGGTTCAGGAGGGCTACATTCCCTAATCCTAATCCTCTTAACTTCCTCCTTTTCATTCTGACACTGCAGCGTAATACATTAAGCCTCTACTTTGAGCGGCTCTTCGGCTTTGTAACAGTAAACATCAGCATATAAAATTTCTGTTTTTGTTAATGAACATGCAATAGTTTTTGACTGAAACTTGAACAGCGATTTAAAAGGAAGGGAACTAGGCCGCGGAGTAGATTTGCCCGCCCGAAACTCTGGTGTTCAATTTTGGTCGGCTGTGGCTGCTGCTACTATTAAATCTTCTGAAATTAAAGAAGATAAGGCTTTAATTTTTGTTTGACCTTTGACCATAATTGAGAAGGAAGGAGGCTATGTCACCGGCGAGTGTTGGATTAATAAGTTTCTGTCTATTTATCTATCTCTGCCTGTTTACATCTATCTATCTATCTATCTATCTATCTCATTCTGTTCATATCTGTCTATCTATATGAGTCTGTCTATTTATCTATCTATCTCAGCATGTTCACATCTATCTATCTATCATCTATCTATCTATCTATCTATCTATCTATCTATCTGTTCTATCTATCTATCTATATGAGTCTGTCTATTTATCTATCTATCTCAGCATGTTCACATCTATCTATCTATATCTATCTATCTATCTATCTCATTCTGTTCATATCATGTTCATCTATATATAGTCTGTCTATTTATCTATCTATCTCAGCCTGTTCATCTATCTATCTATCTATCTATCTATCTATCTATCTATCTATCTATCTATCTCATTCTGTTCATATCTGTCTATCTATATGAGTCTGTCTATTTATCTATCTATCTCAGCATGTTCACATCTATCTATCTATCTATCTATCTATCTATCTATCTCATTCTGTTCATATCTGTCTATCTATATGAGTCTGTCTATTTATCTATCTATCTCAGCCTGTTCACATCTATCTATCTATCTATCTATCTATCTATCTATCTATCTATCTATCTATCTCATTCTGTTCATATCTGTCTATCTATATGAGTCTGTCTATTTATCTATCTATCTCAGCATGTTCACATCTATCTATCTATCTATCTATCTATCTATCTATCTATCTATCTATTTTAGACAAATTGTTAATTTTACGATGGAAAATTCAATAAGAAGAAAATTTGGAATTATTGCAAATCTGTTTCGTAGTTATTATACCAAGATGGCTAACTTTATCGGTCGTTTGACGTGTCGTCTTGTCGATTGAAATTTATGAAACTTGTTTCAATGAATTCTTACTGACGATATATACATTTTTTTTTAATGTAATGCTTCTGAGCATAGTTTTGATTTAAAAATGTTACTTTAATTTGAGTTGTAATCATGGAACGTCTTTGTGCGCTTTGTTCTACTCCCTGGTTCCTACTTTTAAAACTTTTGTAATCAAAGAAAATCAGGCGTCACACTTGACCGATCTCGTAATTTCCATTTTGATAACTCCGCATACAAACAACATCGCGGCTAATTTACTTAATTTGTTTTCTCAGCTTATCATTTTAATGAATTTTAAAAAAATACATTTTTCATGCAACTGTGTTCTATTTTACAAAATGGCGAGAGATTTTTCATGTCCATATCTATGTGTTATCAATCCAAGTACAGCCTGGATGATTCGATGATTATCACGATAATATCATTTTTTTCCGTAAAGATGTAAGATTTAATCGTGTTGTCTGCTTCTTGCAGGGAATATTCAGGAAAAATGTTGAAGGTTACAGTGGTATTAGAACATTTATCTACTTTCAAACTATAAATGGTTTGGTTTGGTTTGGTTTGTTTTACGGCATATCAACACTTCAATGGGTTATATAATGCCGAACAGATATTTATTACTGGTAATATTTTTTTTTATCTATCTATCTATCTATCTATCTATCTATCTATCTATCTATCTATCTATCACAGTATATATTGGCTTGGATTGCTTTGTTTTACGGCATATCAACCTCAATGCGTTATTTAATGCCGACAAGATTTTTTATTATTGGTAATATTTTTTATCTATCTATCTATCTATCTATCTATCTATCTATCTATCTATCTATTGGTTTGTTTTACGGCATATCAACACCTCAATGGGTTATTTAATACCGACAAGATTTTTATTGCTAGTTTTCTTTTTTCAAAATATATTGTTGGTAATATTTTTTTACAAAATTGTACTGCTGGTAATTTTTTTTTCAAAAAGCTAATGGTGGTAATTGTTTTTCGAAATATGAATTGCTGGTAATTTTTTTTTTTCAAAAATGTATTGCCGGTTAAAATTTTTCCAAAAACTATTGTTGGTATTATAACGTGTTTTTATACTTTCATGGTATTTGACCCCAGTTTGGGGGTTAACCATTTGCCCATAGCTGGGACCCTAACAGGTGCTACCATTCCGGGTCAGTGTGGACTTGCAATTAAGTAATTAAGAGGTACTGCCATATGTAGTTTATTATCTTACCCAGGATGCGGATGTAGTTTATCGTCATACCCAGGACGAAACTATAAATGAATGCTAAGTTTGATTATCGGTTTATATCAGTGATTGCCCTTCTTTGAAACTTACATTTTATGATTCCCTGATTTCGGTAGTTAACTCATTCGTCCTGTTTTATCTACCTATTTTTTTTAAAAAAAATTTGTATCAATCAATGCAAGTCAGTAAATTCACTAAGAAACAAGGGGTTGAAAGGGGTGGGAAAATTAGAAACAGAAACATTAATAATGAGAGGTAAAAGAAAAGAATAAGCAGGACAGTAGATAGCGTTTGACATTGAATTAAGATTATTTGGAGATTAAAGTTGGTTGGAAGGAGTGGAACCAACAAGAGAGAAGTACGAGAAAAAAACTGGTAGCATAGAATTTACGGTTACATCTAGCCAGTTCTCCGGTCATCATCAGGCATGGCAACTATTTTCTTTTTTGGCAAAATTCAAAGTACTCGCATATTTAAGGAAGACCTAATACAGTTCGTCATGAAAACACTCCAACGAGTGCACAGGATCGCCTCGTTAGTGATGTTATGACTTCAGTTTATGACAAGTTTCGGGTCTTGCAACATCATACTTGTTCCCCAAGAGGCCCAACCGAAACAGTACTATTTTGGCAAGCGATCCTGAGCAAAAAATTCGCCAAGCACTCAACAAATGGACACATTAAGTAACTGCCACTATTGATATTGAAATTACAAGCGACCAATCATTAACGACCTACGTCACTTCCTCCTCAGTACAGACGATACAAAAATGAATAGACAACACGCTCGTCTTTTTTTTTCCATCTTAGGTCCAAAAACAAGGATCATAATATTCACTGAGTGGTTAGTGGATTAATGCATTTTAAAATTTAGTTAACGAAGTGAATTCGCCATTTTATATCATTAACTTTCAAGCAAGGATATACAGATAAAAATAATTAGGAGGATTTGAAATAATCATAATTAATTCATCGAGTCTAGAAGAAATCTCAACAGAATGCAGAAAGCACTGGACGGCAATTTCGTCTTATTTTTGGGAGTCATTAGCAGTGCGCATCCAATGTTTAGGTTTCTTCTAGACTCGATGAATTACTTAATTTTGATTATTTCAAACCCTCCTAATTTATATATATATATATATATATATATATATATATATATATATATATATATGGAGAGAGAGAGACAGACAGAGACAGACAGAGAGGTAGATAGATATGGGAAACTTCAACGAATTTAAATTTCTCACCGTAATTAGTCTGACCGTAATTAGTCTTACTAATACGAAAGTGTATAGAAAGTACTTTAGTCGATACTAACCCTTCGCTACTCTATCGCTATTGCTAGGGCAAATGTTTTACCTAGTGACCTTTCTTAGTCCTATCATCACAGAACTTTACAGCTAGGGTCCGCCATGCTATATTCACGTTGACAAATCATTCGTATTCCGTTCGTGTTCCTTTGGTAAAGAGTAAGTTCCATTCAGATCGTTACTTTCCCAGAACTATTACATTGTTGAATGATAAACTCCTGAGAGAATGCTTTCTGGAACGCTACAATCTTAAAATTCAATCCCAGAGTCAAGCCATATGTATTCTACATATCCTCATAATATACACTTCTCATTTCATCCTTCCTCTTCCCTTACAACAATCTTGCTCCATACCCCTCTACCTTGAGTGGCATCTGGGTCTTGTATTGTACGAACTAATGTAAATTAAAAAAATGACCATTAACATTACGGTTTTATTTCAACAAGACTAAATATGTATATTTTAACAGCCCAATCAGTTAAGATCAAAAGCCCTGAAAGCCATGTCAGATGAAAACCGCCCTTTTCTCCATCCTATTTTTTTAGGCCTTGTGCCACATTTTCTGTATTTTCACAGAAATAAATATTGTAATGGTTAACAAGCTTGCTCCAGTACGTTAATTACGACTGTATGATGAGTTTGGTTCTCACTGGGTGGCCTATACTTACGGGCTTATGCTACATCTAATCTACGCTGTGGAAGCCAACATGTCATAGGAAAAGAATGGTTGAGAAACCATTTTCTTTAACGACGATGTGCACATTTTAGGATGAAATTCATTATTCACAGATAGCAAGAGATTCCCCCCCCTTAATTTAATCCATTTTTACAACTGATAACTCAATAACTTGTGCTATTTTCTTCCTTCAAACCATTTCTGCCTCTGACAGCGGATTTCAATTCACGTAAGAATCTTCTCGAACGTTTACAGATGACATTAAGTTCCAAAATGTCCCGCGGGGCTAGCAAAATCTATATAATACTACCGTGTTATGAATTTTCACTTTAATCTAAGAGATTCATTGTGACATTTTATTCTTAAGGTAATAAAACTTAGACTGGGAAATTTCTAAAACATTTTCCCTTTTATGAACCTTCCCTTGTGCTATCGTTGCCCTCCAAAACTTGACACGAAGCAATATTTGTGACCTTTATTTACCTTTACAGAAATGCTAATCGCTCTGATGAACTTTTCTTTATGGTACCTAGACTTTATGAATTTAAGCATAGTACTAGATTGGCAGCTAGGTCTCATCATTTTACAATTGAAATGGCTAGATGTAACCATAAGTTCTATGCTAACATTTTCTTCTATCGCACATCTCTCCTGTGAGAATGTGTTCCAGCTACTTGTTCCCCAAACAACTTTGAGCATCAACATTTTAGTGAAAAGTGAATGAGAAGTTTTTAGTGAGGAGAACTGAGGCAAAGGACAAAAGAACAATTTCCAGGAAGACAGAAAATGGCGACTCATTTAAATTTTCAAAAAAATGTAGGCAAGCCAGAAATCGGGAGTTGCACAAGCGAGAAAAGAAACTGTTTAGATGACAGTTACATATAAGTAGTTCAATAGTAAAAACGGTGAGACCTAGTTGCCAATCCAGTAGCACGCTTAAATTCATACAGTCCAGGTACTAAACAGAACAGCTCATCGGAACAATTGCCATGAAAATATTTGTCTATATTTCTGAGATGAGGTATTATGTACACTATTTACACTATTCAGATTATTGTCCCCATTGGAATGTCGACTGTGAATTCAATACCCGGTTAAGGCAGTGCAGAACTTGGAGAAGGAAATTAACAGGATATAACTGATAACTGACATCCGTTAGACATGGCACGTGGAACTAGAACAGTCTACCCCAGTGAGCGAAATCCCAACATCGACATCCCAATCACCTGAAGAAGGCCGGAGCGTACAACGGCCGAAACGTTCTAATAAATATGGCGACAAGGACGAGGACAATAGTCCAAATAATATAAATAATGAAAATATTTGTAGAAAAGATTGAGGAAAGTCACGACACGACGGTGAGAAAGTGGCTGAAGTCGAGATCACAGGTCAGAATCGATTATATTGTGGATCCTTCTTTGAATATTTTCAAGAATCGCGAGATATATAGTTGAAGCACCAGACCAGTTATGCAGCAGTATTCAATGCACTATACGGAACTGGAAAATTGGAAGAGTTGAAAATTTTAAAGAAAAAAACATTAAGGTGAAAACCAAAGAAATGAAATATAAAGCCAAGGAAAAAAAAAAGAAATGTTTTTTTTCTTTTCTGATTAATAGAAACGCCGAATGGAATGTTAACTCCAAAATATAAAAAAACAAAAAAAAAAAAACAAGTAAAAATTGTTATGAGTCATCGAAGCCGGAATGTAAACGATCTGGATTGCGTTTTCAAAATGGACACACAATATGGAGGTCGTATTGGTAAATCGACAAACAAATAAAATTCTTGCCGTTGAATTTTTTGTTTTTGAAAGTCATTGACAGCCGGGAAACGAATTTGGGTAAAGCCATAAATGAAAACAATGGGATATGAAAATGATTGTTTTGGAAGTCGGAAAACAAAATGAAATTCTTTAGAGATAATTTTTAAATTTGCTGACGGGAAAAATTAATGTTTTGATAAAAACGTTAGATTGCCGAAAGGAACGGGGGAAACAAAATGCATTGTTTTGAAATAGTGGCCGCGTTGTTTAAGGGTCGTTATCATGTCTCCGGGATTGGAGAAAATAATGAATTGATGAATACGTAATGAGCTTTGAGGGGCGGTAGGAGTTGGTCGAAATACATATAAACTAAACGCTTAGTTGAAGCTAACAGTTGGAGCGAGAGGCAGCTAGAAACCAGGAAAGACCAGCAGAGGGCTCCAGAGACCTGAAAGAGGCCGGGAGAGGTCGGAAGAAGCTACATGACTTGCTGCCTGGAGAAATTTTAGTGTTGAGATTTGACGATAGAATTCCCGACCTAGTTCCTTATGTATGTTTAACCCGTTCCAAGTTTTGAAAACAAGAGACACAGTTTCACGATAAAGAGTTTAACGGGAAGGTTTAATTTTGTTGTATCAATGACTATATAAACCAATTGAAATTTAACTCAGTGACCTTATTTGTTATTTGTTATGATATTTTTATTTTAACCAATGGAAGGATTTTTTGTCCTTTTTCATAGCACGGTTCAGCCAACTCGATTCAGCGCTTAAGTACGGGCGCAAATTCGATTTTCACTGTTCTGTGATCAAAGAACACAACGTGGGCAGGG